ATATAGAGCTCTTATTCCGTAACTATTAATGATACAAAAAATTGTTGATATGGAAATTGCATGGGAAAAGGGGGTCTATGTTTTGGCCGAACTGAAAAATCTTTTGCATTATAAGTTTAAGACATATGATGGTCAAGTTTTGTTTTTTAAATGGAACCATATATTTATTGTCAGATCATGGAATAGTGCTTCTCAAGACGAATTCATTAAGCTATAATGTATACACTCGATTTTAATTAGTTTTCAAGATATAACGTTTACAAATTTCCCGATTTTCAGTAGATACATAACTCTCGGTTTGAGTGGCAAGTCGTAAAAGCAGCCCTATTGTTACGGTAAGTGCCACAGCAGAAGTCTACACTAGGACCGGCAGATCCAAAGAATAAGAAACCGTAACAATAGGGCCGCTTTTACGACTTGCCACTCAAACCGAGAGGTATCTACTGAAAATCGGGAAATTTGTAAACGTTATATCCTGAATACTAATTAAAATCGAGTGTATACATTATAGCTTAATGAATTCGTCTTGAGAAGCACTATTACATGATCTGACAAAAAATATACGGTTCCATTTAAAAAACAAAACTTGACCATCATATCTCTTAAACTAATAATGCAAAAGATTTTTCACTTCGACCAAAATATAGACCCCCTTTTCCCGTGCAATTTCCATATCAACAATTTTTTGTATCATTAATAGTTACGGAATAAGAGCTCTGTATATATAGTAGGACTTTACCGAGCAGCTAATTATCGCGATTTTCAATCGGCAACTCTATCTCTAGACACACGGTTTTCCCGTCACGCATCTGTGTCGGTGAAGATTGATCCGCGAAGAGTGTAAAAAATATATATATATATATATATATATATATAGTGAATAAGTGGATTTTGGCACCTGGTTTTAACAGTAAACAAGGTCGGACCAGCTTACACACACATATATATATATATAACTTGGCTACTGCTAATGTCGGCAGTACTTGAACTTTATCGACTCATATCTCGAAAAGTACTCCACCGAAAGAAGCTCATGGGTAGTGTTTTGATGTCAGCTACAAGAATATTAAATAAAAAGTGGGGGTTTCCATTTAAAATTTTGAACTTGACCTCGATAGCTCCTCCATACTTACACTCAAGGTCAAATACGTACCACCGCTTGATGCATCTACTGAAACCCTACAACTTATGTACCAAATATTTTTTCCTAAAATGCTTTGTTTTCGAGATATTTCACCGGTCCCGGACTTTTTCCTCACCCTGTATACACATATATGTATATATATATACATATACAGGGAGTCTCACTTAAACAGATATAGAGCTCTTATTCCGTAACTATTAATGATACAAAAAATTGTTGATATGGAAATTGCACGGGAAAAGGGGGTCTATATTTTGGTCGAAGTGAAAAATCTTTTGCATTATTAGTTTAAGAGATATGATGGACAAGTTTTGCTTTTTAAATGGAACCGTATATTTTTTGTCAGATCATGTAATAGTGCTTCTCAAGACGAATTCATTAAGCTATAATGTATACACTCGATTTTAATTAGTTTTCAGGATATAACGTTTACAAATTTCCCGATTTTCAGTAGATACCTCTCGGTTTGAGTGGCAAGTCGTAAAAGCAGCCCTATTGTTACGGTTTCTTATTCTTTGGATCTGCCGGTCCTAGTGTAGACCTCTGCTGTGGCACTTACCGTAACAATAGGGCTGCTTTTACGACTTGCCACTCAAACCGAGAGTTATGTATCTACTGAAAATCGGGAAATTTGTAAACGTTATATCCTGAAAACTAATTAAAATCGAGTGTATACATTATAGCTTAATGAATTCGTCTTGAAAAGCACTATTACATGATCTAACAAAAAATATACGGTTCCATTTAAAAAGCAAAACTTGTCCATCATATCTCTTAAACTAATAATGCAAAAGATTTTTCACTTCGACCAAAATATACACCCCCTTTTCCCGTGCAATTTCCATATCAACAATTTTTTGTATCATTAATAGTTACGGAATAAGAGCTTTGTATATATAGTAGGACTTTACCGAGCAGCTAATTATCGCGATTTTCAATCGACAACTTTATCTCTAGACGCACGGATTTGCACCTGCGTCGGTGAAGATTGATCCGCGAAGAGTGTAAAATATATATATATATATATATATATATATAGTGAATAAGTGGATTTTGGCACCTGGTTTTAACAGTAAACAAGGTCGGATCAGCCTACATATACATATATATATAATCCACGCCAGGTGTTCGCATAAACTCCGTGGGTTCCTAGATAGCTGACATTGGCACTTGGTTTTAAAAGTAAACAAGATCGGATCAGCTTACATATATCGCGACTACTTATCCAGAATTGTTAAAAATAATGACAAATACTAAACAATACTGTAACTGACAAAATACATGACAAGAGAAACGGTAGAATAGAAAGTACTCCAAAATGGTATTTATATATATTACAGATTAAAATATTAAAAAAATATTATTGGAACATTTGTAAACAAGTATATTAACGATTATCATGTACTTAGAAGCTTGAAAAAATTAATTTTCAAAAAAAAAAGATTGAGCCGGTGCGGATCCCTGTAACTACCCTTCAAGTAAGGGTAGCAGTTTCATGCTTGGCACAAATGATTTTCTTTGAACGGTCTATTAATTGATATGGTCATTGATCAATTTGGTCTAAAGGCACATTTCACCCCCTTATCCGGCTATACCCTTTGTATCTCTAGCATATGTATTATAGTTGCTACGGTATAAAATGCGACACCGGACGCATGGACACGGGGACGGAAATATAAGGTTCCTATCTAAGAACCTAAAACGTAACGAGCTTAGCTCGGTTAGTACATACAAGGTGGCGTTTAATTAAAAAAGCTGCTAATTTGGAATCGTAGCAAAAAGCAAACTTAAAATGATTCTAACAATTCGCATTATTTGTATATATAAGTTTTTGGTGATTTCTATGATAGTTATTACGTCAAATAAGAATAATTATACAAATCAAAGAATTTTAATAATTAATAAAAATATGCAAGAAAATAAGTTAATATGTAATTTATTCCTTTATACCGAAATTAATTTAAATTATTTATTAATTTCTGAAACATTAACTTTTAAATGCTATCACAGAATCATATTTGAACATATCAAAATAAAATCTATAATTTATGTGTTCAAGTGTAGATGACAGTACATGTTATTTAAAAGACATTGCTGTTACATCTAACAATAAGAAACTCCTGAACAAAGAAGCCATAAAAATTGCAAGTATAGCACAGTAGCATCTATGTATTAAAAATCAATATAAGTTGTTTGAGAATGACGGATTTTGTTATATTATTATTTAAATTGGTCATTTACATTACTCAAATAAAAGATGATTCGTCATTCTCAAAAAACTTTGTTGCATTAATAATTTCAATTCGAGTGATAAATTATTCGTTATTTGCAATTAATGTATTATTCATTACTTGTAAATATGCCTAACTCTATAGATATGTAAACATGTGAGTTAATAACCTGAGGAAATGGATATATTAAATTATGTTTTATCTTTTATCTACTTAGTAATCTACATTATTTTCAACTTAAAAATAAGTGTGCATCAAACGTCGATAGTTGTAGTGTTAACTTACTATAGACAAAGGAACTGTAGGATCTTCGTAAAAGTTGCTGTATATAACACTTGAATCTCAACTGATACATGAGCAACAAACCGTACCACGTCTTCTGAAAATCAGACGTTATAATCAAGATCTCATGTGATTGGTAATAATAATTTGCTGTTACCTCAAGAAGGGGAAGTTATACAAGCGTTGATACAACTTACACTGGTGGAATTAATTCTGGACACTTTGAATAAAAATATGCTTTATTTCATATTTATGCAGACTCGAACCTACGAAAACCCTAGCACCGGTTTAGCAGTCAGGCGTCTGAACCGTTGGACCACCGACACCGCTGAAAAACCTTTCGATCTTTTGAGATATAACTCACATAAAGTACTTTCACTAATTCTAGTTTATTTAGTTTTTTAAATTCTTATTCCGTTTCACTGTACGTAAAAACATTGAACATTGTATAACACACTTACATGATAAAGAACAGATGAAAATTCGCCATACAAGTAACTCTGACAGGCAAAAAACAGCGAAAAACTCGGTTTTCAATTTTTTTAACTATGGCGCACCTGACCAAAAATTCTCAAACAAATTGAGAATACAAATTTGCAAAACTAGTACAATATGTGCCTCATGAATAGAAATATTTGATTTTTTTCAGAATTTTTCGTCCACAAATATAGGAGAAATTGACCAAAATGTGTGTTTTACATTTTTGCCTATTACTAACCCCCCCCCGCCAGATGAGATACAGGGCTGAGACTTGACACAGATTATTTTTCCTCGATAAGCTATCGAATGAGCCATTGCAAGTCGAATTTGGTTTGGGGCACTTTTTACCATCTTATCCGGCTATACCCTTTGCACTGTTTGAAGATAGAGACAGAAGGTTCGTCTTCGCCAGAAGTTTAATAATCTCTGAGATGACTTATCGCAGATAGAACGTCGCTTAAACTGATGTCTATAAATGAGATACAAAGCTCAGACTAAATTAAATCTTCGTCAACAATTAAATCAGTCGCGTGCGAAGTATAATTTGTGTTTCGCGGCATTGCGAATGTAGCGGTTTATTACACTAATTTAGAAGCACGATCCTTTACGTTCGATAATATCTCATAATTACAAGAAAATCTCCTAACCTCGTCGGAGTCGTAGTTTGTCAGGTACTAAAGCAATTGCCATTCAAAGCTTAGAAATTTTCTAACAATAAATAAAATTTCCAAGGACAAGGTTCTATAAACTTAGAACGTTTATTTTGAAACTCGTATTGTCCACAAGACTCGTGACAACCGGTTTACAATCTTTTACGGGTACTTTCACCTTTTCTACATTAACCTAGCTGGCCTTAACGAAGGCTTATCATGGCCTTATCACGACTTTCAATTCCGTGTCATAAACAAGACCCCCTGTGATGCACGAATCAATGAAGTCAGAACAAATCCCCATCAGGGGTCCCGAACCATCTAAGCTGCATACCCAGCCCCACCGGTCATATGACCACATAAGTACCTCAAAGGTACAGCCCAACCGTAAAGCCTCGTACTGACTTGTGCATTTTGCCCAAACGAATGCTCTCGGCGAACGAACGTGAAATTTCTCCGGCTGTTCGCGCAAATCTTTCTACCTGTGGTACCGTAAACCTTTGTATCTGGGTTCTATGTAGGAAGGTTCTTTCTACCGTAAACCAGTCGAAGTCAGAATGTCGACAGGAACAGATATCACGATCGCCAGTGCAGCGTATATTATTATGAACACAATAATTAAAAGAAAAAGAAGAAGAAAAAATCAAGATAAACGATGGTGGATTAGTCAGATGTATAAAAATAGAGCAACCTCTAGTAGTGAAAAACTAGTTAGAGATTTACAGATAGAAGCTAGTGGACATTTTAAAAATTTTGTGCGGAAGTCATCGGAAGATTTTGAATTTTTAATAAACGCTATCGGTCCCAAAGTTCAAGAAAACGACACCAGATTCAGAAAAGCTGAAATGACGGTGAAAGAACGCTTAGCTATAACGCTACGTTTCTTAGCAACAGGAGATTCATATACGAGCCTTCAGTATCTGTTTAAAGTATCCAAACAATTAATATCAAAAATTGTTCGGGATTTCGAAAATCAGTTTATGACGGTTCATCAGGCCATATCATAAACTGAGTTTTTCCGAAGGGTAAATTCGACAGCGGTCGACTAACGGTACTTGGAAATTTGTAATCGGCATAGTAAAATTGTTCGCACGAATATCCTTTGATGGGCCGACTGCCGTCGGAAAGCGTTCGTTCGTGCCCAGGGCCTTTGCGAACTCATAACGGGTCGTTTTCGGCGCACGAGTGCTCTAGTGAGTACGAGGCTACAGCGGTCAAAAACTGTTCCTTCGTGCTCTGTGCCTTCGCGAACACATTAACGGGCCGTACTCACTTCAGCATTTTTGCCCGAAAGAACGTTCTTGGCGCACAAATGCATAGGTCAGTACGAGGCTTTATGTGTTCGCGAACGCCCAATAACATGGGTTTTCTCAGTACTCGAAATACTGCCGAAGAAATTCCAAATACATTTTCTACCACTCGTCGAGCTCTACTGAGTCGATAGTTAAAAATCCTTTCGGCTGATTTTTTATTATAAGTGCCAGAGAAAGGTTTTATTAAATTTTCAGTTAAAGCAAATGCCTCATCGCCAATAAATACGTAGGGTATTTCTTTGGTCCTATTTGGCAAGACCGATTTTTCTGGCAACCCCAAAGAGTTTCTACGAATTTTTTTTGATAATTCGGAAGTTTTAAAAACTCCGCCATCCGAAATTCGACCTTGACACCCTACATCGACATATAGGAAATTATAATCAGCATCGACTAAGGCAAATAAAACAATGCTGAACTGCGATTTATAATTGTAAAAATCGCTCCCACTGTAGGCAGGTGCTTGCAGTACCACATGTTTTCCATCCATTGCTCCTATCCAATGTGGGAAATTCCATAACTCCTCAAATTTTTGTGAAATTGCCAGCCAATCATTTGGCGTTGATGGCATCTGAAAAAATAAAAATAAAAATAAACATTTGTTTCAAACACATAAATGTTTAAAAGTAATTTAACAAATTAAATTTGTAGGAAAACTGCAATGAGGAAGACTGCACTGAGGAAAGTGCAGCCCTTCACATACCGCAAGAAAATACGGGAACGGGTACGGCTACTCCAGTGCCTGTGCCTCCGAAACGGCGCAAGCGAGGTCACGATAGAAGGGATGAGGAGAGATTGGAGGAAGCATATGAAATTATGAAACAATCAATAGCAAAAGAGCAGCCGGACGAATGTGACATATATTCCAAGCACGTTGCTAACAAAGTACGCAAATATGCTCATCGCACACGTGTTCAAGTGGAGCGAGCTATAAACAATATTTTATTCGAGGCGGACATGGGGGTATTTGATCAAGCTCCGTCAACTACTCCCTCAATTCGGCATAATATTCATTACCATACACAAAATCATGCACAAAGAAAACAAGCTTCAATTATTCCGGCGGCAATAATAAATATTTTAAATGCCGGAAAAGATTAATGTTATTTAGTAAGTAAGTCTATGTATATTGTAGTGAGAGAAAGGATGTTTGAATGGGAATGTAATGTGCGCCGAATGAGTGAGAGCAAATGAGAGTCGAACGACAGGTGTAAGGTATGGGTGATTGGTTGAATGATGTGCGAATGCGAATATTGTAAAAATAAATAGAAGTGATGAATAAATTAAAAGTCTCCTTTTATTTACCTTAAGCGCAATCGTAAGATTACGACAATATATTAAATAAATTAATAAATAAGTATTTTTAAATATGTACACTTACCTTTATATGTTCTTTTAAAATTTCAACAAGCGCTTGGCATACTTCTGGAACAATTGTTGAAATTAATTGCTTGGACACTTTAAACAAATACTGAAGACTTGTATAAGAATCTCCCGTTGCTAAAAAACGTAGCGTTATCGCTAAACGTTCTTTCACCGTCACAGCTTTTCGAAATCTGGTGTCTTTTTTTTGAATTTTGGGGCCGATACCATTTATTAAAAATTCAAAATATTCCGACAACATTCTCACAAAGTTTTTAAAATGTCCACTAGGTTCCAGCTGTAAATCTCTAATTAGATTTTCGCCGCTAGAGGTTGCTCTATTTTTATACATTTCACTAATCCAACATCGTTTATCTTGCTTTTTTCTTCCTCTTTTTCTTTTAATTATTGTATTCATAACAATATAGGCTGCACTGACGAGCGTCACATCTGATCCTGTCGACATTTTGACTTCGACTGGTTTACGGTAGAAAGAACCGAAATAGAAAGGTTTACGGTACCCCAGGTAGAAAGGTTTGCGCGAACAGCCGGAGAAATTTCACGTTCATTCGCCGAGAGCATTCGTTTGGGCAAAATGCCCAAGTCAGTACGAGGCTTAAGGAGTTCAACTCGTTCTATTCGACGACATGCTGCTGAATTAGGAATGAGCGAAAGCACAGTAAGGCGAATCCTACACAAAGATATGGGATTCCACCCTTACAAAATGATGGTCGTTCAGAAGTTAAACGAAGGGGATTATCAACAACGTTCAGTCTCCGCCGAGCTAATACTCAAAATTATTGAAGAACATGATGACGCGACCATCATGATGAATGATGAAGCACATTTCCATTTAAACCGTTCAGTAAATAAACAGAACTTCCGATATTGGGCTTCACAAAATTCCTGTGAAGTGCATGAAACACCGTTGCACAGCCCAAAGGTGACAGTTTGGTGTGCTATTGGTGAATTTGGCATCATTGGCCCGTACTTTTTTCTGGAGAATGGAATTACCACGACTGTAAACTCAGCTCGGTACAACAATATGGTCAACAATTTCGTGAAACCAGAACTACAGAGGTGAAGGATTAATAGACAGAATATACTTAGACACAAACACGATATTTTTATAATAATTTCAACTAATCTGAACAATCTAAGAATCTTATGTTTTGTATCTTCCTGCTACTTTATATGATTACATCTTTTGTAAAGTCGGTGGCTCTCGCTCTCACTTGATTCCACCAAGTTATATTATGTATATAAAAATGGTATACATCCAGTTCATCGAAAGACAATTCATCGAACACAAATCACCGAATGCTAATTCACTGAAAGACATGATTCATCGAATGCCAGTTCATCGAAGGGACAGTTCACTGATTGGGACAATTCACCAAAAACAATTCCCCGAATTGACAGTTCATCGAAAATTGGTAATACGCTTAAAACCATACATAGATGTGATAGGTTAGTCTAGGACATACATTTAAATCCGGCCGCAGCGCTGTGAGGCGGCCGGCAACGATTTCGTTATTATTTAAAAGATCACAATTTGTAGAAATCGGGAAGACAAAATAACATCAAAAACATTCGATGAATTGTTTCATTCGGTGAAATGTGCGTTCGGTGAAGTGGGATTTGGTGAATCGGTATACGGTGAAATGTCCATTCGATGAATTGTACATTCGATAAATTGTCCATTCGGTGAATTGTCTTCGGTGAACTGTCTTTCGATGAATGGTCCGTAAACCGTGTAGATTCTTGAAGATCGAACTCGAAACGTACTTCGCGGATTATACTCGCGGATTTTTAGTACTTGTTACTGTCACTGCTACTGCGGGTTACGAACTACGAACTCGGGTATTATCGTTACTGCGAACTGTTACTTCGAACTGCTAACTACGAACTGCTACTTCGAACTGCGAGCTACGAACTGCTAGCGTGTTGGGTCGCGTTATTTTATATTGATGAAAAGGGGTCACAAAGTTTGATTTGTCAATTCGGATGAACTACCTTCATTCGGGTTGTCAGCATTTTCACAGTACGCCGACCCGAATGAACTGCTTATTCAGAATTGCGAAACGATGAATCTGGATGATGACAAAGGAATTTAAAGTATGCGTCACAGGGCGTGACACTTTCGTACTTTTTTACAGTATATATAATTCTGTAATTATTTATAATTTTTTGAAAGAATGAATAATAATCAGAAAAATGTTATGTATTAATAACATTTTATTTAAAAAATGTTGTATTAGTGTTGTTTCACAAATTTGTAGGCATGTAATTTTTAACTCTTATATCAGCTCTGAATCCATCTTTTCCTTTTATCTACTGTCTCTTCCTACGTTGACATCGGCAAAACAGAAACAGTTGGAGAATCGAATCTTCTGTCCACTAAATGTTCCTCAGCGATCTCGAATTGTGATCACTTTTAGGAACCAGGGCTCACATTTCGAATAGTCAACGTGTAGAAGACTGCTTCATCCGAGAATAACCGGTTTAATTCACTTTAAGTAAGCTCTGGATAAGTGTTCGCATTCAGCACAACTGCGAACATTTACGGGACAGATCCACAAGACTATATTTTGCCGACGTCGACGAACATAGAAAGACAGCGAGAAAAGAGGAACATTTACAAGCTTAATCATCATAACAAATTGTCATAATAATATCGTGTTTGGTCTTATTTTAATCAGGAAAATCTCATCAATGTGTTAGTGAAAATTTTATTTAAAAAAATTAAAAATAAAAAGTTTATTTGTTGCATTAGTATTGTGTTGGAGATCGGAGCTGTAGAAAGCACGGTACAATAAGGATACTTTTATGCAGACTATTTATTACTTCACACGGTGATTAGCGTGTTATCCGAACCGTGGATACTGGCAAAAATGACGCTTTCGACCTAAGTTCTACGTGTATTTATACTATAAAGAAAGGGAGGCGTGGAATGGTCAAAAAAAGGAAAGGACAAATGTTATAGGTCAGGCCTATCTAACCAGCAGCCCGCGGGAATGACTGTTGGTGTTATTTTGCCCTTTGCCGAAGATAGGGAAGATGGTATCCAACAATTGTGTCGCCGATATGTAGGGATTTAATTTTTTATGACCACCTCGACTCTTACGAGGGGAACTACCCAAGTGTTACGCTCACTTATTAATGAAACTTTGCCAGCTTGTAGAGCTCGTCGCCCTGAACACGCCTATACCCCCTTTTGTATACGTACATTAACACCCTTACCGCATTCAGAATTTACACGCGTTTATTTGTTATTAATTGTTTTTACGAGTTCAATTTATTTAATTATATTTATTTAGTTACATTCATTTATACTACTGTGCAAATTTATAATTTATATTTACAACATTAGAAGAAGACGGAGAAGACATTAGTGAAGAATCCAAAACAATAGGACAGAAATTATATTCGTATTTTATGGAAATTAATTGTGTGTGTATAACAAATAAACGCTAGTAAATTTTAACAATATTAACAATTAAAGTTAGTTACTCCTTACATTGAGAAGCATGACAAACTAACGCATATAAATGCTTAGCTCCGCGGTAAAACGCTTGACTCACAATCTAACTCTCCACGGTTCAAGTCCATGGTTCCGAACTTTTTTTTCTTCTTTCTTTTTAATGATAATTTGTCTCTTTTTGAATAACTATTACAACTGTGCTATAATCATTGCATTTATTAATAGGTAATTAATTACATGTGCTGAAATTTTTATAGAATTTAAGTTATCTTTTCTATCCAATACGTACATTAACACCCTTACCGCATTCAAAATTTACTAGCGTTTATTTGTTATACACACACAATTAATTTCCATAAAATACGAATATAATTTCTGTCCTATTGTTTTGGATTCTTCACTAATGTCTTCTGCGTCTTCTTCTAATGTTGTAAATATAAATTATAAATTTGCACAGTAGTATAAATGAATGTAACTAAATAAATATAATTAAATAAATTGAACTCGTAAAAACAAATAATAACAAATAAACGCGTGTAAATTCTGAATGCGGTAAGGGTGTTAATGTACGTATTGGATAGAAAAGATAACTTAAATTTTATAAAAATTTCAGCACATGTAATTAATGACCTATTAATAAATGCAATGATTATAGCACAGTTGTAATAATTATTCAAAAAGAGACAGATTATCATTAAAAAGAAAGAAGAAAAAAGAAAAAAAACGTTGGGGGAACCATAGACTTGAACCGTGGACAATTAGATTGCGAGTCTAACGTTTTACCGCGGAGCTAAGCATTTATATGTGTTAGTTTGTCATGCTTCTCAATGTAAGCAGTAACTAACTTTAATTGTTAATATCTTTTAAACAATTAGCCGTCTGCTCCCAAAAGGGGGTATAGGCGTGTTCAGGGCGACAAGCTCTACAAGGTGGCAAAGTTTCATTAATAAGTGAGTGTAACACTTGGGTAGTTCCCCTCGTTAGTCCCTCTTTCTTTTTTATCAAACTGTTTCTTTCTACGTTCGTCGACGTCGGCAAAATACAAACGGTTTGCAGAATCAAATCTTCTGTCCGCTAAGTGTTCTTCGCCGGTCCCAAATTCTGAACAATTATCGAGTCTTTACTGTATTGCTAAAATATTTTTGGCCAGCCTTTCGAAACAAATACCCCATTGTGCAGTGACAATTGCGCCAATATCGCGAGTACAAATCACGGTCGTTAAACGACGCGACGGGTCAGTCGAAAACCAACTAGCCCAAGCAAATAACCAAACGGATCGAACGTGCCAACAGCGGAAAACTTGGCTACGTGGACAACTAAAGATGAAAAAGCGCTAGCTTTGATCTTCTTGAGCGTCTCGAAGAATCAGCTAATTCATATAAAAAAGGCAGAAACGTCGGCTGATGCCTGGAATCGGCTAAAAGACGCTCATGAGTCGAAAGGACCCGTACGAAAAGCGGCTTTATACAAGCAGCTATACAGAATGAAAAAAGAATCGAACCAAGATATTACGTTAATGCGTTTTCTTCAAAGGCTGAACAATTGGAAGAAGCCGGGATAAAAATTCCAGATGAATTATTATCTATAATGCTACTGAACTCGTTACCGACTGAATACGAGGGTTTTTGCATCGCTATTGAGTCACGTGATGATATACCGACCGTTGAATCTCTGAAATTGAAATTAATCGAACAAGAAGCCAGACGCGATGAACAAACAAAGATTCAACCGTGAATGACGATGCATTGTTCGTTAAAGGTAAGACGAACCAAAATAAAAATTATCGCGGGAGCACGAGAGAAAGAAGTACAAAATTTAAATCAACTAAATTCAGTGGAAACTGCTTTCATTGTGGAAAGCAGGGACATCGATCAAGCGACTGCAGATCAAAGAAGGAAAACTACGCTGGAAGCAGCACGGAAGACGCGATGCCCGCCATAGTATTGAATGCTGAACCAGGAAAATCAGTGAAATGGTGCCTACACAGTGGTGC